GGGGAGGTGGGGCAGGGGACCGGGAGGCATTCATGCTGGTGTTCCCTTGTGGGTACACTGAATGCAGTCTGGCCTTTGAGCAGAAATGAGGAAGGCTGATCAGCAGTTAGTGATTTCAGTTGCATCTTAGTGCTTCCTACCCAGTGAGCCTAGGCTCACATTCATAGCCTTGAAAAGCCAGGTGTTGGGGTGCTTCTCCCTCCATCTTGCTGCTTTAAAACAATGTACTGTAGGTACAGGTTGCTTCTCAATAACTGTGCTGTAGCTCAACAGTGAAAACAGCAGAGGAGTTACAAACCAAAGAGGTGGAGGGTGAGAAACACGAAAACCTGAAGGCTAAAATGGGTCCACAAAGACCTAAAAGTTAAAGAGGATTCAACCCGCGTTTGCATAGCAGAGGGCAATTGTGAGGACTGGGGGTGGTGGAAAGCCTTAACAGTGCCTTAAGTTTAAAGAAGTTTTCATCTAATGGGTGCTCTACCATACTGTTGCATTTTAGGACAAATACCACAAAACCCCCATTTAGTTAGGTGCACAGAGGTGTGTGGATGAGAACTAAATTGCACATTAATTAATAATTATGGTGACCCAACACAAGAAATTTTCTTGTAGTGGAACAGTATCTTGGAACCTAAGGAAAAATAGCAACATTCCTTAAAAGTCAGTAAATGAAGTTATTTGAAAAACTGAAGGATTTTTTCCTGTGGATCTTTTCTATCATCTAGGGAAACTGCCTTTCTGCGCCATGGGTGTGAGCTCTGTTATCCATCCCAAGAACCCTCATGTTCCAACCATGCACTTCAACTACAGATACTTTGAAATTGAAGAAGCAGATGGTAAGAATTGTAATCCAGTGAAGTGCTATGAAATGTATGACTCCACATGAAGGCATGAAGGAAGCATGACTGCATGGCTCAGCTAAAAGGTTAAGAACCAGCCCAGGTTTGTTCCCAGCTGTGCAAGAATCTGTTGTGTAGCTCTGGATCTCTTAAATCTCTGGGCCTTTGTGTGTTTGTAAGATCAGTGTGAAGTGTGCGTCTACTAAACGGGTTTGCAGTTCACTTTTTGCAGAGTACACCAGGGGTTTCACACTTAAGTTAAAATGTAGGAGATTATAAATATATGTAAAACATTCAAAGAAGGAATTCTAGAATTTAGTAGCATAAGGTCTATAAAGGACTGATAAGCATTCTGGTCAGGATGCATCTTTGCCTCTGAAGCTGGGTGGACATACTGTCAGAATCTGCACTGTGACTTTTTCCTCTGAGTTTCCATAATTTGCCACTGTCAGAAGTGGGACTCCAAGCTAGAATCATACAATATCTCAAGTTGGAAGGGATCCATAAGGATCATGGAGCCCAACTCCCTGCTCCTCACAGAACTACCTAGAACTAAACCATATGCTAGGAGGTCAGATGCTGAGAGGCAGTCTGTACCTTGTGAATGTATATACTGTCAGAAGCTCAAAGGGAGTTTTTTCCCAATTATTTTGCCAGAGCGTTATGGTCATTTCTAGTCAGTTACTTCCCTGGATTTAATAGCAATGTTCCCTTTCTTTGGCATGCAGCAAAATGTTTCTGGATTCTTGAGTAGGAGTTGTCAGCCCATCTTGTGAAATTGATATCCTGTAGTCAGGGTCAGCGGTCCAAAATACCAAATCAATGCTTTGCTGCTTTGAAATCTGTTCTCTGTTTTCCTGAAGGCACTGGTCATCACATTACCTCAAACTCCAATGTTTCATGACTGGGGATAAGGAACACCACTGAATAATGATTTTGTTTTGTATTGTAAAAGTAGTTGTTAGTTCTTGGTGAACCAATAGCAGCATATTGCTGTTTGGAAATTTAAAAGGAAAAATGTTGCTGCTTGCCTCTCTCCTACAGGAACTAAACAGTGGTGGTTTGGTGGTGGGACTGACCTCACTCCAACTTACTTGAATGAAGAGGATGCTGTTCATTTTCACAAGACGCTGAAAGAAGCCTGTGACAAACATGATCTGAAGCTGTATCCCAAGTACAAGAAATGGTACGTGGGGAAAGCTGTGCTTGGGTTTCTTTTGTGGGAGCAGAAGTTAAGAGTACTCTTAGGAATAGTAGGTTCTGCTGTCTTTAGACAAGTATCAGCAAACCATAATGAAAACCAGCAACATGATCTAGCGTGAGGTGTCCCTGCCCGTGGTAGGGGGGTTGGAATTAGATGATCTTAAGGTCCTTCCCAAACCTAACTATTGAATGATTCTATGCATACCAGGAAAACTGTAGTCTAAAACAATCTCTTACTTATAGAGGCTTGAGTTTTTCAAATCAGAGGGCTGACAGCTGGGATCATAAGTCTATAGACTGAACTGACTGCAGCTGACTCTGCAAGACTTTGTAAGCCACAGACTTCACTAGGCAACTTACAAATTCCTTTTAGCCTTGGACTTGCACAAACTCTGCTTACAGTGAACTTATGGAAAATGTGCATGACTTTAGTGTGAGCTCTTGGGCCAGCACTGCAGTTCTGAAAATCCCCCCACTCCAGTTTTTCTGCCTTCAGCCTGACCTCCATGACCTTTTATTTTTTGCCAGGTAGGTAATGGAGCTTGTCCTTAATGGAGAAGCTTCATCATTCTGATGGAGCTGTACTTCCCCCCCCGCCCCCCCAAGTGACATGTTCACTGAGACTTCAACAGAATGTTCTCTAAAGATGCAAATTTTGAAAGTTCTTCTTGAGCCAAGAGATATAAGTGATAGGAACCTTCACTGTTCAGTGGGAGCTTGCTGCTCTCTGTCTGATAATCCTATCTACTACAAGCTGTGGTGTCCAAGAAGGAGGGGTTACCCTTCTGTACACTACCAGGTCCTGTCTGAGGACAGGAGATAAAGTGGGTGTTGTAGCTAGAATGGCAATCACTTAGTAGACAAGCACATCTTGCAACTTAAAGACCACAGTCTTGTTCCCTGAGGAGTTTTTGCATGGTAGTTCAGAGTGGTCAGGTTGTTTGCAGCGTTAGGAGACTATCAATGCCAGCTGCAAGGGGTTGGAGAGAAGGATGCCAATTCTTAATCTGGGGGTAGCTAAAGAGAGGACTAATTGTGTTCCACAGAAAAAGGCAGTTTTCTCAGTCCCAGCATGCGTGTCTCCTATAAGCAGCAGCTGTGTAGGGGTATATGGTTCTCACTGCTGGAGCAGTAGGAGTCTTCTCTGAGTTTCTGCTAATTAGCTCTTTTTCCTGCCTTTCTCAAAAAGAAAGCTCTTGCTACGTTTAACACGCTGCAGTCCTATTCTAGCCTTAAGACTTGTGTCAGCCTTGTTCTCTCTTGCATTTCTGACTCAGCCTTTTTTCCTAACTTTTCCTGCTGCCATAAAAGAAAAATGCTGATCAGCCCAGTGAATAAAAAAACTAGCTTAGGTTATTTGTTGCATCTCCAAGTCTCTTCTGCTATGGCCATGCCATTTATATCACTTGAGAACAGCAACTGTGGATGGATATGCGTATGGAAAACTAATCCTAAAGGAAGGCAGGATTTCCTTGCTGTTGGTGGTTTCTCCTTCCTACCTCCCCTCCATTTCTCCCCCATATGAATACATGGAGGGCATGGCTGCCTAAACAAGCAACTCTATGCAAGACAGGGTATGGATACAATGAATCAGCTAATTTATAGTAATTGCATACTCCTAGTAAATACAAAGGAGATTAATTACCTGCCTATTGTAGGATAAGATGCACTTACAAACTTGAACATAAGCCATCAAAAGCCACTGCTAGAATGACTCCATCTTCCAAGTTTAACTGTTAAAAAGCCTTTTTCCAAGGAAGGCTGCCTCACTTTTGATTTTTTTCTTTTTTTTTTTTTTTTTTTTTTTCCCCTTGAGTGACGGTGGCTGTATTATCTGGCCTGAGGTTTCTACATTCTTTTAGCTTTGATACAGAAAATCAGTTCTTTTACTAGGACAGCAAAAAGAACAAAGAGATTCTCTTCCAAGTTTGAGCTCATCTGAAAGCTGTAGAAGTAATTCAGGATTACATGTAATTCTGGGAATGAAATCTAAAAAGAGTTCTTGGGGTGAAGTTTTGAAATCAGGTGTCCCTCCTCTGTGTAGATAGAGGACATGGATTGGATCACTCCACAAGGAAGCATCTGCTGTGGTGTTTGACTGTTATGTGTTTAGAGACTGTTTGGAGAGACTGTTTCATCAGAGCTGCTGCTGTAAGGGAGTGCAGGAGTGCTTTCCAGGTGGTGCTGTACCATCCTGGCTCTTGGCAGTCAGTGGGGCACCCAGCACTGCGGGAACTGACTTCTCATCAATATTTCACTAGTGCCATCCTGTGCCACATGCCTGCTTGTAGTTTTGTTCATTTCTTTGAATATTGTGGACCATATTATCATCTGCTGCTTCTAGGTGTGATGACTATTTCTATATCAAGCACCGTGGTGAGCGGAGAGGGATTGGAGGCATATTCTTTGATGACGTAGACTCTCCTTCCAAGGAGGAAGTATTCCAGTTTGTGAAGAGTTGTGCCAAAGCTGTTGTGCCTTGTTATGTTCCCATTGTGAAAAGGCACTGCCATGACTCCTTCACACCAGAGGAAAAACTATGGCAACAGCTTCGGAGGGGGCGGTGAGTACTGAAGGAGCAGAAGAATACAGGGACGGTGGATTATGCTGGCAAGTTGAAAAATAAGCTATTCCTTCATGGTTGTGGGTTTATGTCCTGTTGTGATGTGGGCTACGTTTGCATGTGTACTCTGAAGTTCACCTGAGAAGTTCAACATTGTCGTGCACAGAACTCATTTGAAAATCAATGCTAGATTGCCAAAGAGGGTGCAAAGAAGGTACTGTCACACCATCATCTGTGTCTCCCACTCTCCCATGTTGCAGTACAAGCAACCCATACAAAATATCACAGTTTCTCTCCAACTGCTTCAAAAACCAAGAGAAGCTGCTGCTTTGTAACAGGCAGAGTGGGGGTGTGTGTGTGCTTGGTGCCCTCTTCTGCTGCCCAGTGATATGGGACTGCCGTATGACATCAGGAGCAAAGGGTGAAGGAGTCATGCTTCCTATTCAGTAATGAAGCTAAACTCCAGAAAGTCATGAAATAACTGTACCCAAGAGTACTTTCAGCTGCTTTCATACATATTTATTCTATTTGGTCTTGGCATTGAAATGAAGATGCAGTGAACTCTTTGTAAAAGGAATAAAGATTCAGAGGAATTTGTTTTTTCTGGCATGTTCCAAAGTCTTTGTAACTTAAAAGACTTTGGAGGATGCTTATTAATGTGAACAACTGTAAATACTGCTAAAGTTTAAGTACACTGGTAGATACAGTTGTGCTCCTTTCTCTGTGTCCTGTTATTGTCTAAGCATATGGAGGAAGTGTGAGTATATACGCTTTGTGCAGAACTAGGGAGTCTTTAGTTTCTGCCTCTTCTGCAGAGAAGTCTGTGATAGTGGTATAGAGAGGGTGGAAGCATTCAAGTTTAGATTACTGGCCTGCAGTAGTTACTCAAATAAGCATCTATGCTTAATTTGGTGGAACTGTTCCTGGGAGTGTTGGATTTTTCAGGATCCAGTTTGTGGATGGGATTTAGCAAACCTGCTAAGGTTATGAGGGGGAGTAACTTCTTGAAGCAGAAGAATCTGTTTGCAGATTATTGAGCTAGGTAAAGCTCTCCATTTCTGCAGCAGGAAAGAACAGATAAGAGCTCCCCCTTTCCTGTATCTCTGTTAAGTAGTAAGACCTCAGTACTGGTTATTAAGATAACCCCTGCTGAATTGTCACTGTTCTGTTCCTACACTGGCAGCAGAAAACTATGTATTTTGGCTTGTCACAGTCCCAGCCAGCACTCTGAAGCTGACTGACTTCTGCTTTACAGATCTCCCAAGAAAAGAAAATCTTGTTCTGACCTTGCTGCTTATGTGTCCTTCAGCATGGAGGACTGCAGAGTGTAGTTTTTCCTGTGGGCATTTGCAATTCCTGTAAGGTTCCTTTTAATGCCTGACACCACCACACAAAAGAGTACTAGCATAACCAAGCTAAATGTGGTGTCACCAGCAGGATTGAGGCCTCGGTGAAGTAAGCTAGTAGAGCATCATGCAGAATGCTCTCTGTTGAATAGTTTGAATAGGCTGCTCTAGTCTGTTAGCTATGGTCATTACTTCCTGTGCTACGTGGAGCAGCAAAGTCACACCTGCATTCCTACGCAGAGGATTATACAGAACAGCTGGCACCAAAACAGGGTTCATTCTGACACTTCACACAACAGAATGTCAGGCTTGTTTTGTCTGATACCTGCTAGTTGAAGAAGGCACAACCAGCTTCTGATAATAAACTTGTTTCTCTGTTCTCTTCACTTCCCATAGGTACGTAGAGTTCAACTTGGTTTATGACAGAGGTACAAAGTTTGGTCTTCTGACACCAGGATCAAGAATTGAAAGCATTCTTATGTCTCTGCCACTGACTGCAAGGTAAGGGCGTAGTTATGTGGAGTTGTAGATAGGCACTGTTTGACAGGATTAAAGCAAAGTTATGTTGTATCCAGTCTCTTAACAGTTAGTTCATGCCTGATACAAGAAGTGGCCAAATACATGCAGATGGTTCTCTGGTTTGCTGTGCTCGCCCAGTTGCCAGTAATGTGTGGCCTAGATATTAGCTCACAAAAAAAGTGGTATTTTTTGTGCTTAGTACCTCCTGATAGATTTCCCCTCCTCACTCCAAGGGTTTTTGTTAGTAGCTCTTTGAAACCCTGTGAGCTTCTGGCAGCCCTGACAAGCCTGTGGCAAGGAGTTCTATAGTTTAACTGTGTTGTATGAAAAAGTGCCTCTGTTTTCTACCTGCACCTGATGACTTCATTCGACTTCTCAGTAAGTAACCAGATTTTCCTCCTGATCATTTTCTCCATAACAGTTATTTTACAGGCTTCTGGGTGGGTTTTTTTTCATTGTCTCTTTTACAGGCTGACAAGTCCCATTCTTTTTAGTCTTTGTACAGTAGCTGTTCCATACCTTTGACCACATTTGCCACTTTGTCTAGGCTTAAGTTTTCTATGCCCTTTCTGAACCATGGATAAGGAACAGACAACATACATCCAAGATGCAGGTGTGCTGCTGACTCATACTGTAGCATAATGATGTTTTAGTTCATTATTCCTTTCATAACCCTAATATGCTGTTTGCTTGTTTTGACTGCTGCTGAACATTTTGCTGCCCTTTTCATAGAACTGTTATGATGCCAAGATCTTTTCTGGGCAATAAAAGTCAACTCAGTCTCTCAATGTGTATGTAACTTTTTCCTGTGTGCATCACTTCAGATCAATAAACAGTGAATTTCACCTACCAGTTTATTGCTCAGTTGCTTTGGCTTGATATTAACTCTTTTCAACTGCCTTTTTAGTTTTTAACCTGTCTTGCTTAATCTTGCAATATCAGCACACTGTCATTTCCAGTACACTCCCCTTTCTAGGTTGCATTTAGATATGCTGAGTAGCACGGGTCCTATCATGAATTCTATAAACTTTGTTAGTACCTCCCTCTGCTAGGAACACTGACCTTTGCCTGCTATCCCTTAACCACAAATGCAGTCCTGTTCTCACCATATAGCTTCATCCTGCTTCCAACACTAGATGTGTCCCTGCCCTGGTGGTGTAGCACGGTCCTATCTTTTGGTTCCATTGCTGGGATGATCTGGTTTGCTTGTTTTCATCAATGTAAATAGCTGCTTCATGGCATGAATGGGTCTGTCCTGGGGAAAAAAAAAAAAGAAAAATGGTTGTACCCATTCATTCCTTTGTGACTGCTGACAGTTCTCCCCCTCTGTCACGCATCTCGTAATTGCCTTTTCAATAAAAAGTGGTCTCTTACCATCTTTGTTTTTAAAACCAAGATTCAACAAGGACTTGTAGGGCTTCCAGTGTAGTTTCTGGAAAAACTAGGTGTCATGTCTGCACTGTCAAAACTAACTGGGTTCCTTTTTTCCTTATCTTCCTTGTCATACTAGTGTGTCACATGAGACTGCTAAAAGATCTTTGCAAATAAGCCTGCATGAATCGTAGGGTAGGAGGCATTGCTCTTCCCTTTTCTTTGTTGTTCCAGCCCTTCCAAAAGTTGGGAAAAAGATCAAGCTAACATTTCTCCTGTCTATTCCAGTATTATTTGTTTTTACTGAACTTAATGATTTGTAGCCATATCTGGCACATGATCCAAACAGCATCAACTGTGTATGTAGCATTGCATCCTCAAAAAAGCAACTAAAGTCCCAGCGCAGCTTGGTGCCAGACAGGTGGCAGGCAGCTGAGCAGTCTGACTGTTTCCCCTCTTCCTGCAGGTGGGAGTACATGCACACCCCGCCAGAGAGCTCAAAAGAAGCAGAAATCCTGGAAGTTCTGCGCAATCCCAAAGACTGGGTGCACTGACACGGATCATGAACAAGATGGATTGCTTACACTGAGCCATTATGACAGAAAAGGAATGCCTGCACACCAGCTTGTTTAAACTGCTGACTGGTGTTTTAGTACAGCTATTTATACTCTTACCTGGTGCCTTAATAATGCTGTAAAATTGTTGTAACTTACGACTATGTGAACTTGTTCTTAAAGATTGATCATCTCATGTTATCCCCCCCATGTTGATGTTGCCTTGTGAAGGACTGGTGGTGCCCTCACAGGACTACTGTGCATGCTTAAGAACTTCCTCAACTGATTTCTTTGACTGCAAAATGGCAAACTATTGTCAAGTGTTCTCCCACTGGAATGAAAGCATAAAGCGTGCCTAAATAGCACTGCTTACTCTTAGAAAATGGTGGGATGTGTTAGAATTTTTTTTTTTCTTAAGAATAAAGGGAATATTTGATATGATTTTAAACCTTAAACTGTGCTTTCAGGAAGTTGTGCAAAAGCAGTACTTAATCATGTGTGTTTTGATGCTATCCGCATGGACTTGGGAGGTGAGGGGTGATGTTTTGAGACATGCTGCAGCAGCATGACTCGACTGATCAGTAACTGGGAGATTCTGGGTTAGGGACCCAGTCTCACCTGCTGACTGTGGAAGGCTGGCTGTCTATTTTGAGGAGAAAATCTTTCAGCAATGCCCATTTTGGCTGTTACCAAGACAGCCTCAGGCCAGCACCTTTGCCATGAAGGCTGGGGACAGCCCAGTAAGATGCTGAGTATTATCCCAAAGTCCTTCAAAGAGAACTTCAAGTTGCTCCAAGCCCCAGGCTGATTGGTCCTTCTTTGCAGCACAAAACTCGTTGTCCATGAGGAAAAGCAAAGGGGATCCCGTTCTCCTCTGCCTGAGGAAAACAAACCCGTACCTCCCCGTCGGGGAATCGAACCCCGGTCTCCCGCGTGACAGGCGGGGATACTCACCACTATACTAACGAGGAGTTGGGTGGAGATAATTTGCCTTCCCGCCATCACGTGGTACAACATCACTTTTCGCGGGTGACTCGCTGACTTCTGACGGCCGAAGTCTAGCTTCCCCTCGGCACCTACCGTGTTCACTTCTGCGCTACGCTTTCTCTAATGAAAAGAAAATAACATTCTATGATTTAGTAAGACAGTGATATTTCGCGCCTCTAAAGAGGTTTAAAAAAAACCACATGTGGCCCGTACGGGGATCGAACCCGCGACCTTGGCGTTATTAGCACCACGCTCTAACCAACTGAGCTAACCGGCCCGCCTGAAAAATCGTATCCGCGTGCTCGGAGCTCACGCGTTTCCGTGGGAATGGCTTCTCGCAGTGTTACCGCTCATGCTCTTTCTAAACAGCGCGCTGGCGGCGCGCGGGCGGGTCTTTTCAGGCACCTCTGCTACAGCTGTTCAGATATTAACCGGCGTGACGAGAACCGCTAAAATGGGGACTTGTGCAACTCTCATTCTTCATTGCGCACAACCCCTCCGGTCCGCGGGCTGCTCGGACAAGCACCCCACCGGAACGACCGCCATGCTTTCCCTTTCGGCTCTCGGCACCGAGAACCACCACCACCTGCCACCGCTCCCAATCACATCCCTTCCTCCCGGCCACGCCAGGAGTAGTTGCACCCTGGTAGGTAAAAGGCAACGCCTCCTCCCCGTCGGGGAATCGAACCCCGGTCTCCCGCGTGACAGGCGGGGATACTAACCACTATACTAACGAGGAGCGGGGTGTAAAGGGTGCCTCCCCGGCGAGCCCCAGGAGGCCTCCGTGCCACGACGCTGCGAGGAAGCCGTGACGTTGGGCACTTGTCCGGGCCCCGCCACTGCAGAGGGTGGTGGGGTGCCTTTGCCAACACCATTGCTCCGACCCGGCCCGCCGACACGCCGTAAACCGGAGGAGTAGTCCGGAAGGAAGGAAGGAAGGATGGAAGTACTTAAGAATTAAATACCTGTGAAAAAGCTGTAGAGGAGATCATCAATTTCCAAGCCCTTTGCTTCACAAACTGTCAGCACGAGTGCTAAGCTGAGCTCCTTGGCTACCTTCTCCTTTGCTGTTTCACTTTCCATTAAGACCACCTATCATAAAATACATTAATAAAAAGAAGATACTGGGGAGGGGGGGAGGTAATAGCTGCATAGAGAAAGCATATAAATGTATGATGATAATGCAAGAGCTTTCTCAAAACCAGGCAACGTTTAACACAGATAGTCCCACACTCTCCACAATAAAACCAAGGCAAAGCTGCTGCTTGGAGACTGACAAATACATGGCATGAGGAGATGGCCATAGATCCGGTGTAAGAAAATATGGAGTTAGGAAGAAACGGGACAGGACTGACAAAAACAGAGCAGAGAGACACAGCTGTGCATAAAGAAGAAACAGAGAAACAGAAACTCACACACTAAAGGCTTCTAAGTTGAAAAAGCATACATTATCAGTCACATACAGGGGCTTAAAGAAAGTAATTGTGGTCAGGCCACAGAAAATAATTATTTAGTTGGCTAGATGATCTTAAAGTTTTGACTCTTGGACTCAAAACATACTGTGAGTCTACAGACTGGGAAGAATCCACAAAAAGCCATGTAGCTAAGGAAAGCACATCTGACATGCTCCAGATTCAGGAGGTGGCATTTTCCCTTTTGTGGCTGTGCAGCAGCATTGCTGGGTCACTAATGCTGAGGGACTCCCAAGCTGTGGGGTTTTGTCCATCAAAGAGACCACAGTCGCCAGGAAGCTGATCAGAAGATCTTGGGAAGCAGTGCTGAAGCAATACAACCACTCCAGGTGAAGGTTACCCGTTATGAACAGGATATAGGTCTTAAACTCCAGTCTGCCTCATGCTCTCTTGCAAAACACGATTTTAAAAGATTTTATCAGAATAACAAAAAACTGTAGTCAGACAAGACAAGCTACTTTCATGTTTCTGCTATTTTAAGCAGGCCTCATCTCACTGTAAACTGGTTTCAGAACAATGAATTAATTAAATTCAAAGCACAGAACAGCACAATTCTACGCTTTTGCATCCTTTTGTGCTGATGTTGACATCAGCCAAATAGGTTTGAACACTTGGATTCATCACAATTAATTTTGGTGAATATTCTGGTGGTTCCTGACTCCAAAATGCAGCAGTAAAAAACAAGTGAAAAAATAAGTGAAAGCACATTGTTCCAGTAATATCAGCTGTTCACTTCACAGGGAAGTGAAGGAAGGGGAAGAGAGAGCAAAAATTGCATGTTAGCACAAACATGTTTGGTTGATTGGGGTTTTTTTCCACAACAATTAAGTTGTGTGAAGGGCAGAAATGAGGAGCCACTGCACCTTTCAAAGCTGAGAGCAATTTCAGAAATCCCTGAGCCATGTCCTCCTTCAACGCATTAGAGTCAAATTTATTATCTCTGACCTCTTTCCTTTTCCAGGAAAACCAATGCAGCCTAACTCTGTAATGCCATGTGGTCAGAAGAACTACTTGGCCAGGGATGAGGAAGTAAAGAGTAAGATGAACCTTACTTTTCCCCTCTTGCTTATGGTACCTTGTAGATAAGTGATCATGTCCATATAACTAATTTTTATCCTTCAATTTAGACAAGAACTCTTCTTGTCTAAATACTTATTTAGGACTTTGCAAACTTCGGAGTCTTAAGGTTGTCTGTAAGCCTCCTCTACTTCTGTGAGCCAACTTTTTGTATGAGCTTGCAGCAGTTGCTTTAGAGGACCCTGTAAGTTGTTGGTCAGAACAAGGCAGTCTTAAAGAATGCTGACTACACTGCTGATTTGCTGAAAAAGAAATGTTGGATGATCATTTCAACCATGGACAAAGTTCAAGGTCTAGTCCTAGGGCTGGGACAAACTCCAGCATCACCAGAAGCAGACTTCGAGGTGGAGGAAAACCTGGCCAGCCCCCCACAGGGTGAGGGGAAAGGAGGTGGTGGTGGGTGGGAGGACGCTCATGAGTTGCAAACTGCTGTGCTACAATCTGCCATCTCAGACACACTGGATAGATCTCTGTGTGCAGGTCAGGACAGGCAGCCACCAAGGAGGCACAACAGGACAGACAAACTCAGTGAGCTGGGGGACAGCTGCAGGGATCATCCTTTTCACAGGACAGGAGATCAGGGAGCTGCCACTCTGATGGTGACTGTGATGGGGCCATCACAGTAGATTGCTGATGTCACAGTCCACATCCCTGCCTCTTGGCGTTGGTAGCGCCAAGGAGACTAGGAACAAGCAGGGTCCAGACAAGCAGAGATGAGAGGTTGCTGTCCTGTGGGTGGCATGCCAAGGAGGCTGTTTGCCAAAACCTTGCACCCGACCGCTGGGGTTGGGAGGAAAAGGCAGCAGATGAAGAAGAGGCACATCGGGGACATAACTTTAGCACGTGAGTCATTGCCAGTTCTTGTGTAAATGATGATGGATGGAGTGAAACGGCATACGTATGTGTGAGACATTGATTATAAATGTGCCCAAACATGCAGAAATGTCTGTTAAGGATGGTGGCAGATTGGTGGTGTGCACTCTTGTGCCACATAACAAATGCTAGTTCCTGATCACACCTTTCTGCAGGTTCTTAATCCCACAGAGTAACGCTCCAGAAAATCCTAAATGTATTTTAAATTGTTAATTTTTTCCCCTTTCGGTATTTAACGGAAAATATTACATAGTGACATGTTTGTGGCATAAAATGAAAAATACTTATATTAAGGCTGAAACAGCATTTTTTCCCCTACACTTAGGAGCCTTCAGTAACCTGACAGAGGTTAGCAGCCTTCCCAGCAGGGCAAAGGCAGGCAGCTTTCCTCGGGAGAGGTATTTTGATGTTCTGAATGCAATAAGCCACTCACCAAACCATGCCCGTGTCTCTTATGGATTACCAGACAGCAGTACCAAGGCAGTCAACAGGTTGCTGCGTTTGGGGATGGGTTTCCCGTTCAGCCGCACCATTCCAATCCGCTCTATGAAGCAGGGCTCACCTTAAACCTCGATTTCAAGCTCCGAGGAAAGACAACCCGGCGGATCGCTGGCAGCCACGCTTGCTATGCCTACGGCGCCTCAGCTCGGCGCCGTTTCAAAGCCAAAAAACCTCCGGGGGAGCTTCTTTCTTGATCGCTCTGCCACGCAAGCACGACAGGGCTCCCT